ATCCTTGTGCCTGGCAGCACTAGCCCTTCCAATATCCATATCCATGAAGGATACGTACTCAAATATCGATTCCTTCAGGAACTTCAAGTCTTCCTCTGAAGAAACGGCAGGACGATCAGATGGAGCAGGGCGAGACGTCTGGACTTGCCCCCAGGAAGCGAACAAGTCTTGGATAGAACGCACAATCCTGTCAGCATCATGCAAAGAAGATTGCCAATATTAAAAATCCTCACTACAACGAACAAGATGGAAATAGAAGTGAAGCAAAGATTACCTCGTCGACAATCGTAGAAGATGGCGTGTCCTCAGCCAAGCTTGTCACCAACGACTCATCCATTCGTGAGGACTTCCCCTTGTCCGAGCGAGAAGATGTTGCCACAACGGGCGGACTCATGGGAGTATTTGCAAAGCTCAAGAGCAATAAATCAGAAACCAACAGCACAAGCAAAGGTAAGACACCAAAAGACTGAATTACCTTCTGCTTCAATGATTGGGGGGTTGACGTTCTGGCAAGAAGGTGGCTCATCCATGGGCTGTGATGAGGATCCCGGGACTGAAGATGTCTCTTTAAGCACAGCCCCCTCATCAACCAGTTTGGATGAAGTAGCCTCAGCAGAGGATGATGGAGCAGGAGTTGTCGATGTCAAAGCCTTTGAAGGAGAGGCTGAGCTTTTCTGAGAAATCCAAAAGATCATCAACACACAGAAAAGTTTCAAGTGTGGAAAAGTATACTTGTAAGTAAACCAATTTAATTAGCTTCCTCCTGACAATAAGAGGGGTATCATCATCATCATCGACATCATCCTCCAGAATGGGAGATGCTGAGGCTGGCCGTTTGCTTCTTGGAGCACCCTTGGCCGTAGTAGGCTTGGCAGGGAGAGAAGAAGATGGACGAGCAGATTGTTTAGTGCGACAAGAAGGAGAGGGGCTCCGAACAGACAAAGGGGTGACCAAAACAGGAGGAGGAGAAGAAATACTCGGTTGGTCTAATGAATGAAAGGCACGATTGGCATCAGTCGCAAATAATCTGCGCTTCACTGACGGCCAGAGTTGTTCAAAAAGAGGGTGAATGGCGTGGCTAGAATTGAAGGGGGCCAATGAAAAATGATTGGTTAAAAGAAGATTACGAGCATCTATAGCCTCTGCCTCCGCCTTAGTAATGGTATGAAAATGATCAACTAAGTTCTTTGAATAGCAAGGAGGAACAGGCCAAGTTTGGCCAAAACCAAGCTGGCGAGAAAAAAATTGGGGAGCATAGATCTCTACCCCTGCCTTGGCATTAGTCCCAATTAGAATATCATGAAATAGCTCCCTCCCGGTTAAAAATTGAATCCAAATGAGTAGGGAGGTGCTCGCGCTATCTATGGTGGAAGGGGGATGTACATAGTTTGGAGTCAAAAAAGGAGGAAAAGGAAAAAAGGAAGAGATTGAATCCAAAGAATAAAAAAATGAAAAAATGTCCCTTTTGGACATATTTACAGGAGTTAAGGGCTCCATGGCTAGCCCGTAACAGCTAGCAGAAGGGCGAGAAATGGATGGAGCACCAAGCGATGGAAAATAGGATCTCAACCACAGTTGAGTGAACCAAAGAGGTCCACTGCCAGTAGGAGATGCACCATTCTTCAATTGAGCTTGGAGAGAGGCCATGCCTCTATAAAGAGCAGCCAAAAACAAAGAACATAAATTCAAAGGCCTGCCACGCGCTAATTCGTGCGCTATAGGTAAATAACTCAGAGAGGGCTTTATACTTGGCACGCACAAAATATATTTACAAAGCCAAACTAAAAGGAAGGCCACTCGCTCAGTATGGGTAGGCTCAGCACTCGAATGATTGTGGAGGGTCTGCAGGCTTGAATAAAAGTCGGTATAGTTTTTACCAAATTTTGGGGCGCCACCAGAAACTAAGATACCTGGGAAAATGGTATCGCCCAAAGGTGGTAGCTTCACCAGGGCCCCAACATCCCTTAACGTAATAGACATGGGGCCAAGAGGGAAAATAAAGGTGTTATACTCAGGGGACCAAAAACTCAAAGCAATCGAAAAGAGTGCTGAATCAAAAGTAGGGGGGCGAATAGAGACTTCTAACAAATCAGAAATCCTTGCGCTATCAAAAAGTACCTTAGTAGGACCATGACCCACAAGACGAGCATGCCACCTACGAAAAGCTACATCAGATTTAGGCCAAATGCGAATACCTCTTTCGCGAAGTGGCCCCAGCGGTAGAGAGTTCAGGAATGGAGGACCCTAAGTGTAAGGAAACAACTGACCCACCGCCGCCTGTTCAACTGCCTCTGCATTGTTGAAGAAAGGACCCAAGTAGAACTTATTACGTCCAACGTCAGCGGGTGCGAGAAAACTTGGGGTTATGTATGGGCGACTCAGGAGTCTTTGAAAGTCATCAAAACTGAAGGAATCGCTAGCCTGAGATTGTGAAGCAGCCATTTGAGAAGGAACGAAACTTTTCAGGGTTACGTAGCAGAGAAGCAAAAGGTGAACAGTGAATCGTGAAAGAGACGCAAAAAATATGAGGTGTGGTTTGATGGCAGTAAAATGGCGTGTTTGAGGGTTTATAAGGGTTTGCAAAACGACGCACTTTTTCAAGTTATAGAAGAAAACAATGATTGAAATTCTTGGGAATTTCGAATATTGCTGGAAACACAAAGTGAATATGGCAGAATTTAATAATTATTATTAATTCTGCCATATTGGGGGGTAATTGTTGACACATAAAAATTCAGCCCAAATCGAGCAGCCCAAGGAGTGAAACCCAATTGGAGGATCCCCAAATCAGATAGCCCAAAGAACGAAGCCCAATCGAACAAATCAAGATGAAGGCCCAAATAAGGAGGCCCAAGAACGCGGTAACGTCATCTCCCAAGTTTGCAAGTCGCCCAGAATCTGAGCGAATGGAGTGTCATACAGTCGCCCAGAACTGTTACTCTATTCTCGCCCAAACCTTCAAGTCGCCCAAGGTCTTAACAACATAAAGCGTCATGGTTATCAAGAAGTGTAGTTATCAAGGCAGTTATTGAAGCAGCCCTATCACGTTCCACGATTCAAGGAACTCAATCGAAAGCGGTTGAACGATGAAGAGTAATGGCAGCAGTTAAAAAAGGCAGTTTTCATGACAAGTTGGCCATTACGAAGAAAGTGGGCAGTTATAGGACGATCAAGCAGTTTTTAGAGCGGTTGATCACAAAGAGATCATCCATGAAGTATAAAAGGGAGAAAGGACATAGAAGCAAAGGACCGAATCCAAAACTCTCGAACAGAGAACATGTAATTTTCATTTCCTTAGTTTTTAGACTTAAACACTTTTCTTTCAGTAACTCGTGTGCTTGCGCCCCTTGGAGGCACGTTGTTTTTCACTTCCAATTGTAAAGTCATCGCCAATAAAAGAACACCCCTTTTTGGGACTTTGTCTCAAGAGGTTTGTCCCTTACACAATCGTCTGATCCCTTTTAATTGTTAGCGACTAACCCGCGCGAAACAGCATTTATATGGGGATGTATTAATCTTGGGAATTGTTTGTTAACCAAAAGGATGGGGGAGAGTTAGCACTGATGATGGCGCATAGCAGAACCAATTGTTGTTTTTGTAATATGCACTAGGCAGTGCTGACTAAGACCAGCCCGCCTTGGCCCTGACATAGCCCCGCTAAAATCATTCACCAAGCCTAGCTCAAGGTTAGACGGATGAGTCGAGTCGAGTCAAGTAGCCAATTTGACCTCAACAATCTGCTTTAGGCCAATTATATTGCAACCATGCTAGCTGTCCAGTTTCAATGATGGATTTTCATTTCCAGAAAACATTTGGCAATTTATTATTAGAAGTTGAAAAATAAAAAAAAAAGAGGCAGAAACATTCAATCACAATCTGCTAAATTACCTTATTTTTTTGGAGCCAGTTTCCAATTCTGTACAACCAGCTTTATTCATTATATTATTGCAAAAGTATCGATGAATTTTTTTCGTACTTGTTGAAGTAGGTCCAACTTCTCGTGAAATAAATTGGTGATGATAAATGATAAACGACACAGAACAAGCAATATGATAACAAAAATAATCAAATTATTGGATTTATAAGATTTTGGGAAAATTCTCACCCACAATCTCCGTATTGAACAATTGTTTCACTTGGATTTCATTTCATTTTTGTCACATTTAGGTAGGGATGTCAATTGGGCTCATCAGCTCAGGCCGCCTGTGGCTTGACAGGAAAAAGCTCGAACCGGCTTGGGTCGAGCCCCATTTTAAGGTTCCGAGCTTAGCCTGAGCTGGCCCGTGTGGCTCACCGGCTCGGGACTTAAAAAAAAAAAATGTAACTTTGCTGCCTTATTTTAACAAGGTAGCAGCCAGCTACCTTATTAATTATATATAAAAAAAAAGAGAGAGAGAAAAAATCGTGCCGGCTCGGCTCGCTAAGGCTCGAGCCGAAAGCTCGGGTCGAGCCTTTTTTTTTAATTCGAGCTTTTGCTCAGCTATGCTCGAGCTCAAAAAAAAGCCTGTTTTATTTTACTTGAGCCGAGCTTGGGTCTTGAACTTCGGCTTGCGAGCTGGCTCAACTCGATTCGTTGACATCCCTATATTTGGGTATCTAAACTTTCATTTTTATCAAATTAAAATTATCAACGTTTTATTAAGGACCCGTTTGGTAGGGATTCTGAGAATTGATTTTTTGACCGTTATAAGAAAAGTGAGGTCCACATGTGAGAGAAGAAGTCAAAAATTACGGCTTGAATAGTAAAATAACGGCCAAAAAATTAATTTTTTGGGGCAAAAAATCCCTACCAAACGGGGCCTAAATAGTCATGTGAATCCAATATCTTCATTCTTTCAAGTGCCAAAGTTAATGATTTCCTTCTATTTGTCAAAAAAGAGACAGTGCAGGGATGTGATTAAGACAAGTGGTAATGTTTGAGGACTGTGAGTGAAAATTTGCACAAGTTATTGGATTTGATTATTCAATCAGGAAATCGAACAACTGATAAGATACTATATAATAATTGCATTATTTCTGCTTTATACCTTCTTTCTCATTCTCTTCAGGTATTTTCATAATTTTGTATACTTGTTCATGTGTGCTTTTCTCAACAAAAATTCCTTCCTTGAAGCAATTGTGTATAATTTATATTTTTTTCTGGGACTGCTGTTATTTTTCTTTACATTTTCTACCAATTCTCTTTCCTTTTGCGATTATTGTAGAAAATCCATGTTTGGAGCTCTCTTTGTATCTTTGTAGTACATTTGCGCGATTCGTATTTCTTCGCACTGATTCATTGAAGGGAAGGGAAGAGAAGAGAGGAGAAGAAAATCAGTAAAGCATTTTTTTCCTCATTCTCGTGGACCCAATTTTATCATCGACAGAATTTGATTTTAGTGACTCGTTAACCTCGAACTCACGCATTCTTCTTTTTAGCTTATCCTACTCCACCAGAACTTTTCTGTAGCTTTATCTTTATTCTATTTCTCTTCACTGAATCCACTGATTCTCTGCAGGAAACAACTCAAATTAGGGCTTTTTAATAGACTGCCCAATTTTCTGCTTCTGTAATACCAGAGCAAAATGCACAACTATGGTTTTTCAATTTTCTTATGCTTTGTGGCCGCATTATTATTGATGAACTGCTCTGTATTCGCCAATGGCGAGTGGGTGACATGCTCGGGAATGGTACCGATGAGGGACCGGGATGATAAGATATCAATAACGGATTTTGGAGGGGTAGGTGATGGGAAGACAAGTAATACGAAAGCATTCATAAAAGCTATTTACAGGATTGAGCATTTGAACAGGGAAGGTGGCACACTTCTTTATGTACCTTCTGGGGAGTATTTAACTGATCCCTTTAATCTCACCAGCCATATGACTCTTTACTTGGCCAAAGGTGCAGTTATCAAGGCTACACAGGTACTCCAGTCCCCCCTCTCATATGAATGTTATGGACTGGCTATTGTCGGCAAGACACGACTATAGGTCTGTGCTGATGCACGGCTGCATTGGGTGGCTTGGCCCATCAACCATCCATGCTAATTGTGCACATGTCAAGCTTTAATGAAAAAATGACTCTATTCTTCACGAAGGAGGGCGTGGATTAAATTTAAATAAATAATGTTCTCCTTCTCCATCAAAATCTTAAACTTTTGGAGGAGTTAGTTTAACATGCTATCATTTTGTTTTACATCTGAAGGTGATTGATTTACTAGAAACAAATTGTGTAATGTAATAGTTTGTTGTCATTCATTTTATCTATTTGAAATTTATATAGTTGAATAGATGATCTAGAGCCACTCGTTCTTTTTGAGATCATGACTCATGAGGATGTTTTCAAGTTAAGATTTTAGTTTTTGAATGCCTATATCCTTTGCTTTAATTTTCAAGCTTGATTTGATATTAGAATATTTAATTAGGGATAGAAAGAGCAGTGGTGGTCCAATTAGATTGGTAGTTGTGATGCATCTTTCAAGTGAGCTGTTTGTCAGACATTGAAGGGAATGGATTTCTATATATTTTTGGCGTTTTTCTTTGCAAAATTTAGAAATTATGGTTACAGATTAGGATGGGCCAAGGGGAGATGGGAACTTGAATGCATGTACTATGTTGGCATTAAACATAGTGACAGCCATTATGGTTAGCCAGCTACATCAAAAAAAAAAATTTCAGAAAATAAGGAAAGAACAATTAATAATTTAATCAATGAGATATAATATAATGGTAATTTTCTTTTGACTAGCTGCTACTGTGAGATCTGAGGTTGGATGAGTTGATGACAATAATTCAAATTGTATATTGTTTATACTTTACACGAGCAATCCAGGTGTGCACCTGCCGTCCCGGCCTGGATGAAGAATCCCACTTTTTACTTATTTATACAAAAATAACAAAAATTTGTAAAAAAAAGCAAGGTTCGGATAGGTTGACCGGCACCAGCTGCTCTGGCCTGGATCATGACACTGTAGTCCAGGGATTTTGACTTTGTATAGGGGGTCCTGGGGATACCCATATATGTATGAATGACACTACTTGCATTAAACAACATCATCCCATTCAAATTAAATGATAAAATGTTTAGTTTTTCTTGTTTTGAAGTGTTGTTGCACATGTTAAAATATTTATGTTAACTTCCTATATTCTGTACTGACACTCCTGTTGTGTAATGACTAACGAAGGCCAAACTACATGGTTTTGATTGCTTACCGTTTATGTTATTTTCAACAATCTCAACATGCTTCCAAGCCATAGATCTATTTCTCTGCCTTAGCTATGAAGGTAATATGTTAAATGAATCATGTGATTGGAAAAAATTTACGGTGTAATTTGTAGAGAGGTTAGGTCTTCCCTTGTAATTCAATATTTGATTTGATCTTGAGCATTCATAATTCTCCAGGAACAAAATAGTTATACGTATCAAGATCTGCTTCCATTGGGAATAAAAAGAATGTTAATTGGTGGCCAAGAAATTAAGTGTACAACCGACTTTGAGTGTTTAAAAAAAAAATGCTTTATCCCTATTGCCATCCATCCATATGGAACACATGTCCTTGATGTTTCAGGATACTAGGAATTGGCCGTTGGTAGCTCCGTTGCCTTCTTATGGAAGAGGAAGAGAACTACCCGGTGGAAGATACATGAGCTTTATCCATGGTGATGGGATTCAAGATGTGGTTATCACTGGTCAGTATGGAGAACATCATTTCATTATTTGTTTACTTTTCTTTGTTCATTTATAAGTAATTTCTATATTAGTTTTCTGTAGGTGAAAATGGGACGATTGATGGCCAAGGTGATGTCTGGTGGAACATGTGGAGGCAAAGAACTCTTCATTTCACTAGACCTAATCTTATTGAAATTATGAACTCCACAAGTATAATAATTTCCAATGTAACTTTCAAGAACTCGCCCTTTTGGAACATTCACCCCGTGTATTGCAGGTGATAATTCAGTGTATGTGTGTTGCTCAAATTGGTCCATAAGATGTATTAGATAGATTAATTACCTTAAAAACTTTTGAAAGTTTTTGTTATGGTAAATTACTTAGTAAAGAAAAATCGCTACAACATATAATTGATGAACTCATTTTTCATTTTCTTCTGTCAGCAATGTTGTCATTCAAAATGTCACCATATTGGCTCCTGCTGACTCTCCCAACACTGATGGAATTGATCCAGGTACACTAGACAAAAAGTTAACGTTAGTATTTGACAATTTAATATGACTATAGCCACAGTTGTGAAATATGTTATGGTATTTGAATTTGCCATTTCATCTCCTGTTGAACATAGAGCGAGGAAGGAAATATGCATTATTCTCTATGCTCCCCTCTACCATATGTATTTAGCATTAAGTTCATGCAACCAGAATTCTCTAGTGGATACGTGTCACTTCAACTGGGAAATTTGGGTGCTTTCACAATTGATTATCATGTAAAAGTTTTAAACCGATAGAGAAACAACATATTTAGTTTTATTTTATTTTTTTCATTTTTAGCCTTAACACATCCACCTCAAGTACTCGCTACATTCATTTTAATCTTTCTGAATGCTAGTGCACAATTTTCATAGATGGTTGACTTGCACTCAGGATAATGATCTTTTTATTATATACAACATAAGTGGAGGTCCTTTTGTTGTATAGTGATTTTTCTAAATCCTGATTTTTACTCATACAGACTCAAGCTCCCATGTCTGTATTGAGGACTCGTATATATCAACGGGAGACGACCTCGTAGCAGTGAAGAGTGGGTGGGATGAGTATGGAATTGCTTATGGTCGCCCTAGTCAAGGCATCACCATTAGACGGGTAACTGGATCATCGCCATTTTCTGGAATTGCAGTGGGAAGCGAAACCTCTGGCGGAGTCGAGGATATTTTGGTCGAGCACATAAACTTATTCAATACTGGGTTTGGCATCCATTTGAAGACAAATATTGGTAGGGGAGGGATTATAAAAAACATTACAATCTCGAATGTTTATATGGAGAATGTACGGAAGGGAATAAAGATTTCGGGCGATGTTGGGGGCCACCCAGATGAAAAATATGATCCAAATGCTATGCCAGTTCTCAAGGACGTCACAATTAAGGGTGTTTGGGGTGAAAGGGTTCAGCAGCCTGGTTTGATTCGAGGTCTGAAGAATGCACCATTTACTGGGATTTGTCTATATAACATCAAACTTCATGGTGCCACAAAAACAAGGAATTTACCTTGGCAATGCTCGGATGTAAGTGGGGCTGCGGTCGAGGTTAGTCCATCACCATGTTCCGAACTTACCAGCAGGCAGCAAAATGGTACGTGCTCATCTTCCTTTTGAGAATCTTGTAATCCTTTCTTTGTCCCAATTCGTAGGCCTGTAAGAAGGAAATTTAAGAATTCTCCAATTTCGTGCACACTTTCTGCTTGCCCTTGGAATATGAAGCTTTTCTAGTATAACAAAGGAGAAAATTGGACAAAAAGTTGCAAGGATATGCATATCATATTTTACATCCTCGAGTATTTGGCATGAATGCAGAATTATTTATTGATCGTAGCATATAATTTGAGCCATTGCGGCATTAGTTATACGTGTAGTCTAACCTTGAGAATGTCCTACTCCTTTCTAACCATAGTTGGCGTACTAGACAATTGAGATTGAAATATGAGGACAAGTTATCATTCAAATCATTTATTATTATTATTATTATTCTTCTTCTTCTTCTTCTTCTTCTTCTTCTTCTTCCTTTTTTTTTTAAGAGATAATTTCCTTGTAATTGTTCTTCTTATATTACAAATAAAGAAACAAATACTTGTCAAGGATTACTTGATTTGGTTGTATCACCTAATATGGTAAGTATCACTTTGATTCTAAGAAACAATCAATCTTCTTTACATAAATGTTATTTAGTTTAGTACTACCCATAATATTAACGTACCAAGGGAAATCTTTTTTTGTGTTAAAATTAAGATGAGTCGATTATCGTCCAACAATCATTTCTGCCATCTATAAAACTACAAAAATTAAATCATACAAAATTAACTCATCAAATATCTTTCGACATCTCAATCGGATGCAAAACTTAACTTATTTACAGACAAATAAACGGGCTGGGTGGACGCACACAATCATTTATTTATTTCCTATATGGCATACATGCATAATTCACTAGTTAGTGTGTGTATCACTTCAAAATCTAGAAATAATGATCCAAAAACTTGCGCATGCTCTTCATCAAGCCACCACTTGAAGAAGTCTTCACGGTTGAGATGGTAGTGGTGACAGCAGTTGCAGGCGGGATACTTCGTCCTTGAGTAGAAATGGCGGTCGATCGGACGGAGTCTAGCGGTGGCCAAATCCAATGGTACAGAGTGAACGATCGAGGAATCAGTTTCAATTGGCCCGTTATTTTCGCCAGCGTTGAGAATCTTCTTCGTAGGGAGGCGAATAACAGAGTTGTCATCGGTGAGAAGAAGGAATTCAGATTCAGAGATGGTGATGACATCTTTTCCTAGTGTTTTTAGTGGGGCGCGGGCGAGTGTAAGGGTGAAAAGAAAGAAGAACACGGCGGCTGTGGCGGAGAATTTGGCCATGGTGACTAATATGTTTTTTTTGCTGTGGGAAAACTTTGATATAACGGGATGGAGATCGAGCAGTTCGGATAAGTTTTATTGTGAATGGACAAGAGGGCGTTGGAGTAAGGAAATGGCAAGCGGGCAAATGATTGACCATCCACGTGTTGGGCAGAGGACGTGGGATCTAAAGCCATCTTTAGCGCTGCACCAAATTTTGTATCAAATTTTTTACCAAACTAAAATTCATCTCTAACCATTACATCAAAATTTACACCAAATGAACACTGTTCAACCATTTTCTTCCCTTTTTTATTCTTTATAATTTATTTATTTGAAATATTATTTATTTAATTATTTTATAATACATAAATTACTAAATAAATAATTACGTTAAATTACGAAAAAGATTAAATTCATTTATAAATATAAAAATATATAAAACAATTAATAAAAATACTACAACAACAAAAATATTAAATCATGCCATCAGAAAATAATACAATGCATTTTAAATTTGGGTATACAATATTCCGAAGCCGCAAAATTTTTGCAGTTTAATTCTTGTAATTCATATGTTCCTCCCACAAATAATCGTGAGGAGAATAAAATTTTGTTGAATGATTTGAGTTCGATAACAGATCCAAGCCTACGTTTGTTCTTGTTAAACGAACAAGCAAGAATTTGCCACAAGAGATCTCAACGGCAAGATAAAGGATCTGAAAGTTCATCTCATCATCTGGTTTGTTTGGAAATTATTTTGACGATATTGGAGGATCTGGAAACGATCTTCCAGATTACTAAACCATGCACTTTTTTATATATCGTTTTGTTTAAATAAAATTAGATTATCGTATGTAAATCGTTTAATGTATTTCGTGTTAACTTTAATAAATAATCGTGTTTGTTATATTTTAATTTTTTTTCTTTTAATTAATTAATTAATTATTATTTCTTACATTTAAAATTTATTTTAAATGCAAATAATAATAATAATAATAATAATAATAATAATAATAATAATAATAATTTATCGTATTAAAAGATATATAGCACAAATGACACAACTACCTTTTATCAATTATTTGGAAAAGGAGAAGAAAAAGGGCAAAATAGACTTTCATCACGTTGCATCATTTTGGTGCAAAAGGGCAAAATAGACTTTCATCACTTTGCACCATATTTGGTGCAAAGTAAAGTATTGCATTGGAGCAACTTTGCACCAAAAAATGGTGCAATTTGATTATTTGGAATTCATATTGGAGATGCCCTAAGTTCATAGGAGTTTAGGTTCTTTGACTTATTGTATTTACTTTTCTCTTTTTAATGGAGTCTTGAGCCAACATACAGTGGGCTTCGGCTTACATTATGGAGCCCATTTGTAATCCTAATATGGGCTGGATCGTGAAGTCTGAGGTAGTGAAAATTACATCCACAGAGAATTTTTAAGTTTTCAATTCAAAAATAAGATTGAAAGAATTTTTATTCAAAAATTGAGGGATAATTATCTTTTAAATATTAATAATAATATTATAAAATTATATTTATCTACAAATCCACGACACCCTAGTCTATTTCCCATCCCAATTTTACACCAAACCCTAGTTCATTTCTCTCCATCCTCTCTATCATCTCTCTTTATCCTTCTCTCTGCCTACCCACCATCTTTATTTCGGAGCCGATCTACCCTCTTGTAATGGTACAGTGCGACAATCGCGACATAGTAGAATCGTTGCACGAATCTGCTCCTCTTGCAGTGGTATCATGCGATTGCTGCGCAAGGCGCAACTGTACCTCGTTGCAGGTAGTATCGCTTCATGTAACAATATTGCAAGCATGCAACGACGGTTGCACAGCTTGTAGCTGCATCGCGATTGTGGACTGTAGTATGTTGTGGATTTGATAAAGCAGTGGTAGTGATGCAATGGTGGCAACGACAGCTAGTTTGAGGATTTCTTGTGAGTGTGGTTGTTATTGTAATTTTTGGTACAGTAGGTAGCTTCCGTTGGCTATGACGTTGATGGTAAGATGGCGATGGCAGTGTAGTTGGCGACGGCAATGGTGATGGCGGTGACGATAATGGTGGTAGTGGTATTGGCGTGGACACTGGTGGTGATTTTGTAGTTGAAATGGTGGTTTGTCGGTGGTGGGGGTGGTTTTGAAATTGAAAATGGTAGTTCGTTGGATGAAGTGTCAACGGTGGCACATCGGTGTTGCAAGCATGTAGCTCTGGTGGAGTGTTGGCGATGGTATGACTGAGATAATAATGAGGTGATAGTCACAAATTATTTAATTAATTGTGACCAATAAATAATATATGACCTAAAAATTTGTTAATTTATGTCAATAATTTGATAACTTTTTGATCGTGTAATAAAATTTAACTTATAAAATTTGTGATTTGTGATCAATAAATAAATTGTAATCTATAATTTTTTTTATTTGTGATCGATGAACAAATTGTGATCTATAAAATTTCTGATCTGTGATCGCGAGATAATTTGTTATCTATAAAAATTTTGATTTGTTATCGAAAATAATTTGTTATCAATTAATTTGATAAATTTGACCAAATTATATAGAATTGTGACGTTAATATATTTAATTTATAAAATATATTTTTAATTAATTATTTTATAAATAAAAATTTAATTAATATCTGATTTTTGAAGTTTTTAACTTTGTACCTTAATTTTGAAATGAGTGATACCTAATCTTTTACATATAAAATTATTTGAGGGAAACTTGATACCTACAAGATTACACGTTTGAAAAATGAAAAGTTTGCCTCAATCCTAAAAATTTTTAAAATCTTGGAATATACCAACTTTTGGACGAATTCCAAGAAACAAAAAAATGATAATAATTAACCAAATTTAGTTACCTAAATAACGGCCAGTAACTTTCTCTTCCCAATAAAAAAATCCACTATTATCTCTTAAGCAAAAAACTTTCATGTCTATCATCATATATATATTTTTTTTTTATCGAATACATTTCAACTATATTCTTGCTTAGTTGAATGATTAATTGAATGTGTCTCATTGTCAATAGGTGTAACTTCCATATTATGTTGTAATATGGCAAAACTCTTGTGACCATAATAATTTTGAAGTAGTGTTTGATCCTATGATTTATAGTTGCGATGGTCTCGAAATTGTGACAATTGAATTCGAACTATATCGTTGTGTTTATATACAAATTAATTATCTAATTGAATTAGGATGAGAGTATAGTTACGGCTAATAGAATTTACCTGAAAATAACTATTTTTAGCACTTTGAAAAGACTTAACAATTTATTTTAGCCCTCGTTTGGCCCCCACTCCATTCCATTTTATTTTTCTCTCTTTTATTTTCAACCACACAATCATTCATAAAATAATATTACACGTAAATCGAAAACTTCTATTTTTTTTTCAACCACTCATTTAAAAAAAAAAAAAATACTATTTCACCCATTTTCATTCTAAAAAATGGGGACCAATAATTTTTTCTGATTTTTTCTACACCTTTCGAAAGAACTCACAAGTACATCCATTTCTCCACTACTAACTTGGATAATTCTACATATACATTATGGACAATACATATGAAATTCTCTGATTGAAGGATTGAAAAAAATATTTCTACTAATTTCGTAAATTCAAAATTTTTCTTTATTTTTTAATTACACATTTTCCATCAATACACTATTCAAAAATTCATTTTCTCCACCAAAATGGGGCTCCAACAAGGGCACTATAACTATCTTGATGCCTAATTGGAGTACTTGGCCGACAAAGTCGGTTGAGCTGTAGAATTCAATAACACGTCACGATTCTTCCTTCCGTTTTTAACATCTATTTCTATAAACTAAGGAATTTTTATCACTACTCGACGAACAACATAAACATCCAATTTCAGGAATTTCTGTTGGTGGGCCCTCTCCAGAATGTC